TAACCAGGAGCATTTGTTGAGTTCAAAGAACAGAAGATTTTATTATTGCTACCTATAGAGAAGAATCCGGTCAACTAACGGTCAAAGCTGAATTGGTACTAGGTAAGGGTCAACAGAATTCACTGGGGGTTGACTTGGGTCTCTTGTGGCTGTGCAATTATTCCAAACAGATGACACGTTTAACTCTGCCTTCCAGCCCAGCCTGCTCACCTCCTACCATATCAACACACTTGACTGTTCCCCATTTGGACTACAACCCCACATATAAACACACACGCACCTTTTAAAGCTAAAGAAAGACAACCAGGAGAATTATTATCATTATGGCAGCTATCACTCTCCCAGGTCCAAAGGTAGCACCGATGATAAAACATATTTACATTTGATGTAGGATAGATGCCTGGGAAAGAGATAGGGAGTCTAATCCTTCCTCAGGTTTTGTTCCAGCATATCAAATAATCTATCACTGCACGTAAGGCCACAATCCTGATTTTCTTGAACCTTATAGCCTATTCTTCTTTTCTTTATCTTTTAGATGAAGACAAAAGAGAGAGAGAGAGAGAGAGAGACATGAAAGACAAATACAATAAGCACAGCTCTGCATTTTCATACTGCAGTACAATTATTTCACTTTCAAATTATTTGCTTGCAGACAAACAAAGTCTGCCTACGAATAACTAAGTTATTCCATGGTTCTGTTCCTATAATACAGCACTATATCAGCTGCCACCCTAGGAAGTACCAACCCTCCATTCAATAATTAAGTGGCAAACTCACATTTCCATTTCAAAAATACACATTTAGCCAGTCTCAGAGGGATTATCTTCCATCTTTATGGCCATAAACAGGTACATGACACCTGGCTCCCCAGGTGTGACCATTTCAACACATCGAAATCCGATTAAAGCAGTGAGATTCGATTGTATACTCAAGTCAAGCTGATGGTTCTGCTACAAATAAAGTCAATGAACACTTTTAGAAACCTTCTGAATACATGTCAGGCCTATAAAATGGGACTAATTTGATCCTCCATGCCAGTCACAACCAGACAGGCCCCACAATATATTCTCTGTAGAGACGACACATATTCAATTTCCTTAAAGCAATATCTCCATCATATATTTCCCTACAGACACTCAGTTTTCTTTCTTTTTTTCTTTCTTTTCCTTCCTTCCTTCCTTCCTTCCTAAGTCATCAGTAATCTGAAGTCAGAAAGGCTGCCTTATTCGTGGAAAGGGTGATGTTATCTATAGCAGTACTTTTTACCATCCCTGTGCTGGCTGAGGATGATGGGAACCATACCCATCATTGAAAAAAACTAAATTAGAGGATTATAGTAGCAAGGGGTTGTTCCTTACAGATGGGGCTTTAGAACTTCTTAAAAAGCAAGGAAAGAGGAGAAAATGACAAGAGGGTAAGTTTTTAATTTGGGATTGTGCAATACACAATGTAATATTCACTGAATGCATTAAGGCAAGGGGTTTCAAACATATTCAGGCTATGGAAAGTTTTTTTTTTAAATGTGATTCTTGAGAGCCCCCACTCAAAAGATAAAATTCTAATTATTATAAACTGGTTGCCTTTCATTGATTCCCCCCCCCCCTTTTAGAATCTCATGGAACTTCAGAGAGTTCTAGGATGTTTGGGAAAACTGCTTTAGAGCAAGGAGACAAACAGAATCAACTTTTGGAAAGTAAGTGGCTGGGCGCCAAATCTTGGAAATACTCGAAGGCTCTCTAAGCTGACAGTCACTATCTTTATAGCTATCACAGTCACAGGCTGAAATAACAAACCCAACTCAAATGTGTGTCACTGGCTGAGAGGACGTGTGTGTGTCAAGTTTATGCCTGAGAGTATACGACTTCTGAGCCTGCCCACATGGCTCCTATGCTTTTCCCCAGGGGTTACCACAAGCCTGCTAATTGTTTTCCCAGGCAGTTCTCAACGGCCCTAATGCTTTCTGTCAAGATCCCTGTCCCATCCAGGAGGATTGGGGGGTGGGGCAGGGAGCAGTCTGCTTTCATGGCACTCGCATGCCGGTTGCTGCTATAAATATCAATTGCCTACAACGTACAACGTAACCGTTTGCTACTCAAGTCCAGCATAAACAAGGCCTATAGGGAAAAACCCTTGAGAAATGAAGAAAATCAACTAGCTCTCTTCTCAAGTGCCACGTTCAACCAGATTATTTAGAACCCACTTCAGAAAAAGAAAAAAGAAAATCACTCTTCTAGCCCATTACCTAACCCACAAAGGAAAAAACCCTAAATCAGCATATTTCTTCTTAAAGTGGCTGGTTCTTTCACCTTTCCCATTAAGTATCTGCCAGCATCTCCGGCCACAGAAACATTAAAAAACACATGCATTCCCCATCAGAAATAGAATATTCAGTTTTTTCAAATATGTGGAACCAAAAAGCCAGCAAATGTCTCAAATAGCACTTAAATCTGATCTGAATAGCAAATATAAAGGAAAACAAATACGCTACCGAATTAGTTTTAATAAGTTTCTACTTTAGCATTTCTATTATTTAAAAAAAAACAGTTTTAGAGAGGGTGCTTAATGATCACAAACTTCAAATATCCAAGCATTGTTAAATTTAATCCTTTGCATATTCTCATCCCTTTTCCTTTTGAGGCCCAGCACTGAGTTCAAGAGTTTCCACTCTTTTGTTCTTCCATTTACAGAAATTACCTCTAGTTCATAACAGACCTCTATGCCATATAAAATATTTCTCTTTAAGGGCCAGTGAACATTTTGTTATTTTCTTTCTAACAGACTAACATTTGCTACCCACCTTCGGAATTCTCCATTCTGTTGACATAGCAAGTTCCAAATGCTAAACATTCCAAGATCTGATTTGTTCATTTTGGTGGACAGTCAAATAAAATACCTAATTGGCTTAATTAAATTCAGACTTTTTCCCAGCTGCTTTAAATTAGAGGTTAGACACATGCAGAAAACCTCAAAACCTCAATTTAAGAATGTTGCCTTTCTCATTCTGGAAAATTACAACTACATTCCTGGAATAGCTGGTATTATTTTGAGAACAACACAGAGAAATTCCAACTGCTTTGTTTTAAATCCAAAGAATGTGTGCACTCGTCCATGGATAGTCTCTTTATTACATGCCTGAACATGGCAGATATATACATGTAGAAAGTGCATGCAATGTCATGAGATGGAGGGGGGGCAGGGGAGATGTTGCAAAGAATAGCAGAATAACATCCCTGAAACCCAGAAGCCTATCTTAAGCTACTTGGGTCTCCACAGCTAGGCCAAGCTGCTTCTTGACATAAGTCCTGCAATATGGATACTATAACAGCAGCTGTAATACATTCGCCTTTGTCATTTCCAAATGCCTCCAAATGAAGTTCCCCTTCAGTGATGCCAATTCACTGTATGCCAACATCTCTTCTCATTAATCAAGCTTCATAATTAGACACAATGACCCACTCAGGAAACAAAACAAAACTTTATAAAGAAAGGCATGGCCTCATAAAGGTATGTTCTCTCTGGCAAGCACAATGATTTCTACCCCTTCAAAGCAGTGGCATTTTTATACTACAGAGTCACCGGCTGAACGAAGAGAAAGGAATGTCTATCCATAAGAAGCAAAGCTCAGAAGGAAATTTAAGCAGGGATGGAGAAAGGAGAGAGCTTGCTCAGAAAGGACTCTGCAGAAATTTGGCAGCTGCGAAGGGCATAATGAAGTCTTCCCCAGCCATATATTCTCCTCCCTCCCAGGTGCTTTTCCATAATCTTCAACTAACATGGAAGCTGCAGTCTAAAACGTCTGGAGGATACCAGGTTGGGAGAGTTAAGGATGATGAGATGCACATATTTAGAGAATATCTGGTTGGGGAAAACTGACAGATGAATAGTGGATATAAGCAGGTAGCAGAGCCACAGAGGAAAGGGAATTAAAGGCACACATTGGTGAACAAAAGCTAGGCATTTAGCTAAACAAATAAGGGCAAAGAAAAGCAGGGGTCCAATTTCACCATCATGGGCCACATAAGTGTGACTGGATACAAGCTTTTCTCACTCAGCCTGTTTTCTGGTAAGGTGGATGGGAAAATCGCAAGCAATTTGGATTTATTTATTTTTTAATTAGGGGAAGCAATAGAAAATCATCTGTGCTGATTTCCCTACCCAGTGCATGCTAAATGCCATATTTTCTGCACTCTTGAGGGATTTAATTTAGCTCACCCCAATTAACTGTAAAGGACACACCTCTGCACAATCCATCAGCAATTTAGCCTTTCATACGGTAAAGGCAGATTTTGCGGACCCAGAGACTCCCCTCTCGCCGTTTCTGCAGACTCGCCAGATTCAAGTGGGGTGGGGGGGAACCCAAAGGCAACCATACAGCAAATTTAATTAAAAAAAAAAAAAGGAGAGGAAAATAACGAATAAGCTTTACGGTACCTTCGCAGATTGCCGAGCGCTATCCCGATGCCTCCAAGGCCCAGCCGCAACTGAGCTGCCAATGGCTAGGGGGAGGAGTCCGGCAGATTTAACCCCGCCCACCCCGCCCAATCGGAGAGGAGAGGGTGTGGCCGCAATGCTGCTCTGAGGGGGGAATCTTTGACTGCAAGAAGAGAGGCTTGAAAGGGCAGACCCACCCACCCCTTTGGAGGAGGGGGGGGAGTTGACGGACAGACGAGTTCACCAACCACAGGAAGCAGAGCGGAGGGAGCCTTTTGAGAAGCTGAATGGGCTTCTTTATGTGGAAACAGTTCGGGGAGAGGGCGGGAGGGGGAGGGGGAAGGATGAATGAGGTCTATTGTCTACTGGGGGGGGGAATAGGATGACGTCAGAGGCTAGACCCTCAGGGGAAGAGGGAGGGGGGCAAAAAAGCAAACCAAGAGTTATGCATTCTCTCCTTTCCAGTCCTAGCTCTCTATCAGGACCCTCCCTCCCTCCCTCCCTCCGATCAGCCCTTCCTTCAATCGCAGGATCAGAGATTCCCAAACTTCGTACTTTGGAGGAAAAAAACCAAAAACTAGCTGCGCAAGAATGACATCATCGAAGGCTACCTGGAAGCGCCTTTCAGATTGCAGAGGAGTCTGCTCGTTGCAACTCTGAATGAGTGCTGCTGTAGCTTCTCTTTCTTGCTGATTGGCTTCTCTTACCAAGACGGGCTGTCATTCCACCTCATGATGCTTTTGACTTTTTTTTAGTCTGTCTCCCAGACTCAAGCTAGTAGAAAAACCGAGTACAGGTGAGACTTCCTATTACAGCATCTAGGTTGGGTTCATGCAACAACCTCTCTGCGCTAATAGGTTGGGTAGCTAATATGTTGTGGGAAACCCAGAGGTAGAGTATTGTGGGAATAAAACTGCCGTGACTCTGTTTTGGTTTTGGGACATAACATTCTGTGAAGGTATTATTTTTTTATTTTTAAGTTTGGCAATTTGAGTGAATGCAGTCACAGTCCCTCATAGTCCCAGGACTCCTTCTGATCAGGAATCATGTGCCAGTTTGACAATTTGCTCAAAAACAAAGCCTATGGCACATTAAAAGTCCAGAAATATGGTACACAAACAAATCAGATGGAGTTGTGATTGGATTGCTGAGGCCACCATTTTTGATCCCAATCTTCAAACTTCCTTGTACTGAACCAATGAACTCCTTGTACTCCAGCTACACTGTGGGTGCTGAACTGGCTGGAAATAGATTTCTGAACACAATTCAGGTCCTGGTTTCAAATCTATTGGTCTTAAATTTCTTGGATCCAGGCTATCTACAGGATTATCTCTTACAAATAGAATCTGCCTATCCAGTTGAGTCAGCTCAAGAAGACTTGATGTGGGTTCCTCTTCTGGAAAAGTTAATGAATCAGGACCTTCTAGCAGGCTTCTTATAAGAGTGATACCTCTCTGAAACATGCTACTCTCCAAAATTCAGGTGGCCCCTACAATTTTAATATTCTGGAAAGCCTAATGGTCTGGCTTTCTTGTATTTAAATTTGGAGATTTTTGTGGTATGGCGCCGTCAACTCTTAGCTTAATTGTACTTTTAATGGCTGTTAATTTAAATAATGTTTAATTTGATATATTATCAGTTCATTGTTTTCTGATGTACAGTATTTGCCAGAGTTACTGGAAGGAGCAAGTTTGGTCTAGTGGTTAAGGCACCAGGCTAGAAGTCAGGAGACTGTGAATTCTAGTCCCGCCTTAGGCATGAATGCCATTTGAGCAATCTTGGGCCAGTCACTCTGTCTCAGCCCAACCTTCCTCAAGGGCTCTTAAGCAAACACCACTACCACAGGATTGTTTTTCTTAAGAACTGGACAGGAATCAACTGACATTTCCCACAAGGCAGGGCTGTGAGAAGTACAGTTTCCCTACCACTGTCCCATTGTTTACATCTCTAAGTGAATTGCAGGCAAGAGTGGAGCTGTGAAATGCAGCAGTGTCTGCAGCACGTCGAGAGGATAGCAAAATGATGACATAGATGTGTTGATGTCATCGTACAAATGCTAATCTTACATACCTGTGTCTCTGGGTCGGATGCAGATATGTAAATTGTGATATGATCTACTCATAGACAGATTACCATTTGGCTTATCCTGCACCCATCTCAGATGAAAGGTTGAGTTTATATGTGGCATCACTACTCTTGGTCCTTGTTCAAATACCCATCTGGATGTGCAGGAAATAGCAAAGGCTGCCAAAAATCTAACTTTGGTACTCTAAGGCTTAAATCAATTTGAGAGAGATTAATTGAGGCACGCATGCATGCAAAAAACAAAGTGATGGGGACAAGCCTTCACACACTCTACACACATACATGCTAACATAATGTCAGATATATCTGAAATAGAGTATGATGCATAAAGCTTATGGTACAATAAATCTCTGAGTCTTAAACTCTGACAGACCATATTTTTTTTCCTCTTCCTTTCATTCTCCTTTTTGCCAGCGCTATTCTGCCCTCTCGTGGTAGATGAATGTCCCACTCCATCATACCAAGGTCACACTGGCAGTGATGCAGCAAAAGTCCACAGGAGATGACCAAACAGAACCACCATCAATGAAATTAGCTGGAGCAAGGCCGAGAGGAAAGGTTCCCCATGCTACTTTTAGAGGTTGAAGTGACTCAACAAATTGGCCTGTGATCGTTTTCCCATCCAGAGTGATGAGGTACTCTTGCTATATTTGTATGTGTTGATGCTGCATTCAACATTCATGAGCAAAAAAAGGAAAGTAGAAACTTTCTCAGGTCTCAAAAGAGGAGGATGCAGTCAACATGTCAAAGGAAAGAGGATGAGTTACATCTTACAAAATGTACAAGGTGAACTGTTCTGGGAGTAAACAAGCTATAGGAAGAGACATTTCATCCCTTAAAAGTTCATTTAAATCTTCCCTAGGATTCAAAAAGACAAACATACCCAGTATTATTGAGAAAGATGTATTTTTGTTTTCTCTCTCTCTCTCTCTCTCTCTCATACACACACACACACACACACATAATATTTCCCAAAATATAGTGTTTCTCTGGAACAGAAGGAAATAAAAAATCCATATAACTTTTCGTCTTGTGTGTCAGACAGTCTTAATTATAATTCTGTACTCAATCTTAACCAAAAGGCCAAAAAGCCTTGTGGCTGTGATTAAGATTTGAATTGCTTTGACTGACGGTAGTACTTATTAACTTATTAAAATGCATTCCATAGTATTAATGTAAAATTTATTTGCATTTCCTATTTAAGAGAATAAATAATTGCCCTGAGTAAGAATTCTATATTGCTAGTCCCAGTCTCTAATAAAATTTATTTATTTGATTTTGGCGCTATTCAACTTCAAACTGACTCTGGGCAAGCTACAACATAAAGAAAACACAATAGAACTACAACAAGGAAATAAAATACAATAAAGTAAATAAACGAGATGGAAAATCCAGACATCCAACCAAAACATATACAACATATGTCAAACATATGTCAAACAAGAACTTTCCGCCACCTTGCCCCAAGGCCTGGGAGAAGAGCCAGGTCTTTAAAGTTACTGGAATGTCGTCAGGCTGGGAGCCATCTGGATTTCAAGAGGACCTCATTCCAGAAGACAGAAAGATGACACTGTTTAATCAAAGGGACCTGGAATAGGCCCACTCTGTTGGTTCATAGTGGCTAGGAGAAACCGTGAAAGGCAGATGGTCCCTCAAATAACTGGACCTGAGATGGGTTTCAGCAGGTTCTGATCAGTTCTAGAGAACCGGTAGCAGAAATTTTGAGTAGTTTGGAGAACTGGTAGTAAAGATTCTGATTGGCACCGCCCTCATCTATTCTCTGCCTCCCGAGTCCCAGCTGATCGGGAGAAAATGGGGATTTTGCAGTAACCTTCCCTTGGATTGGGGAGGGAAAGGAGATGTTACAGTATCCTTCCCTTGTCACGCCAACCAAGCCATGCCACGCCTACCAAGCCACACTCACAGAACTGGTAGTAAAAATTTTTGAAACCCACCACTGAACTGGATCATATTTCATGTAGGATTTTATAGTTGATAACCAGCACTCAAAGGTGCTTTTTCAAAAGGCAATTGGACTGTTTTTTCCTGAGGAAAAAGAAGGCATTTCACTTCTCATCCAAGAAGCTTCATCGGTACTGCCTCATCCAAGAAATTGGACTAGAACTGATGAAACTTCTTGAATGAGAAGCAAAATGTCTTCTTCCTCAGAGAACAAATAGTCCAGTTGCTTTTTGAAAAAAAAAACACCTTTGTGACAACTATGACCTGGATGACTGAGAATTTCCACAGACATTTGATAACCAGCACCTTGAATCACATCTATAAACTTACCCACTAGCAACCAGTGCAGTTCATAAAGTTCATAATGTCAAGTGGGCATTCTGAGACAAGACCGCCATTACTCATTCCACTGCATTCTGAAACCAGTTAAAATTTCTGAGTGGTTTTCAAGGGTAGTCCATTGTAGAGAATCATTTATTAATCAGGCCATGGTTTAGGACAGTGGGTGTGAACCTTGCTAGTTTCTTGGCAGTTGGGGAGGATCTATAGTTGGTGATTGTAGCTTTCAGAGAGGCCTTTATACAGTTTTTACACAAGAGTCACAATTTCTGATATAATGCATAAGGGTGTACTAATTACATAAGCAGAATGTTAATACAGGGAGATGCAAAGCAAATACCTACTGTTTAACTAATGGTGAATAATGTCAGTGTTTATCCTAAAGGTGTGTAGTGAGGTAATCAATGTGACTTGTGGTTTACATAGCAAATGTCAGTTTCTGAGTTATTTTTGAGTCTGGGAAGGGTCAATTAATCCAATGCACTCGCAAAAGAAGACATCAGTACATTCCAGCAAATACTTCCACCACATTTGGGGTTAAAATACCTCTTAGATTAGAACAATATAGCTGGAAGAATTATGTGAATTGTGATGAAGTGCTGTTCTATTCCAGCAATCCCCATATTTTCTTACAAAATATGGTAGACTCAGCTGCCCATTGGTGAAATCCAATTTTTTTTTACTACCTGTTCTGTGGGCGTGGCTTGCTGGGCATGGCAGGGGAAAGATACCGCAAAATCCCCATTCCCTCCCCGCTCCTGAGGGAAGGATATTGCAAAATCTCCATTCCCACCCCACTTGGGGGCCAGCCAGAGGTGGTATTTACCAGTTCTCCAAGCTACTCAAAATTTCTGCAGTCGGTTCTCCGAACTGCTCAAAATTTTCACTACCAGTTCTCCAGAACCTGTCAGAACCTGCTGGATTTCACCCCTGCAGCTGGTTATATATTTCTCTCTACTCCTACCTATTGAGGAATTTAGGTGGTGTTGTAAGAACAATTTTGGAGCATCTGAAGCAGAAAAGGCTTGTCTACACATGCAAGTAAGATTACATAGTCAATTTCACACAAACAATTTCAAGAATCACACTGGCTAATCCATATTTGGTCATTTACACATTTCTAAGCAAGTGGAAAATCCCCTAAAGTGTAGCTTTGAATATCCATATAATAATAACATTTCTAAAGAACTCAAACTTTTAAATGTGGAGCCCAGCCCCAAAAGTTCCCTTCCTCTGTCCTCAATTATAAATTATAAATCTGAAAACAAGGACTGACATACTATTAATCTCTGCAAGGTGTTTTAAGAGCTTTTATAAATATAAATATTAGCTTAGCAGCGGAGGAAAAATAATACAAGGGCTTAATAGATATTAAAAATGAATAACCTCTTTGTTTATAAAATATGATTGGGAAAATATGTAGCTCCTTTCCTGTTCAATACCTTCCAAACTTGTTGGGACTACAAGATCCAAGATTCTTTAGCCAGGCCATGCTGTCAGGGAATTCTGGGAGTTGCAGTCCCACAACATCTGGAGAGCATCAGTGCAGCGAGCTAATATACAGATGGAAGAAGCTGATCTAAGTTGGGAGTTTAGATCCCAGATATACAGCTGCTAGGCTCTTTCTTTGAAGAAGAATGTAAAGGTAGTCCTCGATTTAACAACAGTTCATTTAGGGACTGTTTGAAGTTACAATGGCACTGAAAAAAGTGACATGACCATTTTTCACACTTAAGATTGTTGCAATATCCCCAGGGTCACATGATTTACATTGGGATCAGTGGTGGGTTGCCCCTGGTTCACACCGGTTCTATAGAACCAGTAGTAAAACCAGCGGGAGGCTCCGCCCACCGACCCTGACGTCATCAGAATGCTTCTGCGCTTGCACAGAAGAGTGCACATGTGTGCAAGTGAAGCGCGCACATGCAGTCCCGTTGCAAACCGGTAGTAAAGGTAAGTAGAACTCACCCCTGATTGGGATGCTTGACAGTTAATTCACATTTATGACGGTTGCATGTCCTGGAGTCATATGATCCCCTTTGGATCTCCTTCTGACAAGCAAAGTCAATGGAGAAACTAGATTAAATTTAAGAACCATGTTACTAATTTAAGAACTGCAATGATTCACTTAACAAATGTGGCAAGAAAAGTCGCAAAATGGGGGGAAACTCATTTAACAAATTTCTCACTAAGCAGCATAAATTTGGGGCTCAATTGTGGTCTTAAATTGAGGACTACCCGTATTTGTTTAGTGACTATTCAAAGTTACAATGTCACTGAAAAAAAAGTGACTTACAACTGGTCCTCACACTTACAACCATCACAGAATCCCCATGGTCATGTGATCAAAATTTATTTATTTATTTATTTATTTATTTAATTTGTATACCGCCCTTCTCCCAGAAGGGACTCAGGGCGGTGAACAGCCAAAATTAAAAAACATACAAATGCAAAAGTTAAGATAATTAAAAGAATTAAATCATTGGCTACCCAAATTTAAAACCCCAAATCCATAAAATTTAAAATCCCAATTAAAAACCATTTAGGCTAGGCCGGCTTGATGAAATAAAAACGTCTTCAGGGCTTTACGGAAGGTCCGGAGGTCCGGGATCAATCGTATTCCAGGAGGCAGCTCATTCCACAGGGCGGGTGCCCCCACAGAGAAGGCTCGCCCCCTGGGGGCCGCCAGCCGACATTGCCTGACCGACGGCACCCCGAGGAGGCCCTCTCTGTGAGAGCGTATTGGCCGGTGGGAGGTTATCGGTAGCAGCAGGCGGTCTCACAAATACCCTGGCCCTAAGCCATGGAGCACTTTAAAGATGAGAACCAACACCTTAAAGCGCACCCGGAAGACCACCGGGAGCCAATGCAGCTGGCGCAGGAGAGGTGTTACGTGGGAGCGCCACGTCGCTCCCATAATCACCCGCGCGGCCGCATTCTGCACCAGCTGGAGCCTCCGGGTGCTCCTCAGGGGGAGCCCCATGTAGAGAGCGTTACAGTAGTCCAGGCGTGACGTAACCAAGGCATGAGTGACTGTGCACAGGGAGTCCCGATCCAGAAAGGGGCGCAACTGGCGTATCAGGCGAACCTGATAAAAAGCCCCCCTGGCCACGGCCGTCATATGCTCTTCTAAAGACAGCCGTGTGTCCAGGAGGACGCCCAAGTTGCGAGCCCCCTCTGTGGGGGTCAGTGACTCGCCCCCAATAGCCAGCGATGGCACCAGCTGGCTATACCGGGACGCCGGCATCCACAGCCACTCGGTCTTGGAAGGGTTGAGCCGAAGCCTGTTCCTCCCCATCCAGACCCGCACAGCCTCCAGACACTGGGACATCACTTCAAGGGCATCATTGGGGTGGTCTGGGGTGGAAATGTACAGCTGAGTGTCATCAGCGTACAGATGGCATCGCACCCCAAAACCACGGATGATCTCACCCAGTGGCTTCACATAAATGTTGAACAGGAGCGGCGAGAGGACCGACCCTTGCGGCACCCCGCAAGCAAGGCGCCTCGAGGTCGACCTCTGCCCCCCTGCCAACACAGACTGCGACCGGTCAGATCGCAGGTACCTGGTACCTGGCAAATTCAGGTACCTGGCAACGGTAGTTTACAATAGTTGCAGTATCCCGAGGTCTCGTGATCACCCCTTGTTTCCTTCCTTTCTTTCTAACGAACAAAGTCAATGGGGGAAGCTGGTTTTGCTTAACGTCTCTGTGTGATTCACTTAA